GATAGTATCTAAATCCAGTCAGAGTATTTATAGATGCTGGTCCCCAAAGATCAGCATGTAAATATTCTAATAAAGAAGTAGATTTATGAATACCAGTTTTGAAAGGCAATTTTTTCTATTTTCCAAATACACAATTTTCATAAAAATCCAAACCCTTAACATTGTCCTTGCCAAAACATCCAAGTTTATTTAAGATGATTAGTCCCTTTTCTGAGATATGTCCAAGTCTTTTATGCCAAATTAAAGACTTATTGGAATCATAGTTTAAGGCTGTAGAGCAATGATCTATCACAGATTGAGCACATACTGTATATATGCCATTTATCTTTTGAGAGGATATGATAGTTTTATTTCCTTGCATAAGTGTTAAAAGACCTTTATGAATCATGATGCTGTATTTATCATCTAGCTCACCCAAGGAAATGAGATTTCCTTTTAACTCTGGGACATATCTGGTGCTTTCAAGTTCTAGGGTACAATTCTTATTTAATGAGAGTTTGATCTTTCCAATCCCATTTATTTGACAACTCATGTCATTTCCTATCTGAATTTGTCCTCCATTTAGGTCAACAAATTCAGAGAAACATTCTTTTGTGGGACACATGTGAAAGGTGCAGCCAGAGTCAAGGACCCATTCATTTGGGTCCCTTCTGGTGGTTGTTACTAAAACAACCCCTTGAATATCAGATTCATCTCTGCAGGCTACAGCTGCAGATCCCTTAGTATTAGCATTCTCTTTCATATCTGAGATTTTCTTGAAGCAGTCTTTTATTACATGGCCAGTTTTATCACAGTAAAAACATTTCCTCAGTTGGTTTTTAGTTTTCCATTGATTTTTATTGTTTCCCTTAAATCTGGAGAATTGAGTTTTCCCTTTCTTATTTAAATTTTGATTTAAGGGATATTTTTTTTATTTTGGTTCTGTTTCTCCTTTATGAATAACCCCTCACCATACCTTGAGTCTTTAGACTCAGATTTTATTTCTAGTTCTCTATTTCTCAGGGCTGAGGTTATTCTATCAATGGTAAGTTCTTGCTCCCCATATTCTAATGCATTTCTAATGTCTCTATACTTATCACTTAGTGAAATTAACAATGCCACAGCTTGTTGATCATCAGAAATTTCTTCATCACAATTAGTCAAGTCCTGTATCAATTTTGTGAATCTATTAAAGTTATCTTCCAGATTTGAAGTAGGATCAAATTTGAAATTATAGAATTGCCTAAGAAGGTAGCATTTATTAGGCATAGTTCTAGTTAGATATAATGTTTCTATCCAAAGGGCCTAAGCAGAAGTAGTTTCTCCAACTTTCCTAATTACACTATCAGATAAGTGCAAGAAAATTGTGCTCCATGTAGTATCATCTAACTCCTATCTCCTATAGGCACTAGTTTCTGTAAGCCCATTACCATCAATGGCTGTAGCACATCTCTACTGCAGCAATAATGCCCTCAGTTTTTGGTGCCAGAGACTGAAGTCTCCAGTACCATTCCATCTCTCAACTTCAAATTTTTGAGATGTGGACATGATGACAAATATGTGTACACAAAATTTATACAGCACACAGTGCATATTAATTTAGGTATTTTATTTTGATTGATCAAAAAATGTGACATAATTGATAAGGCAGAATATATATAATTGTGTCTTCCTATCATGCAATACACAATTTAATTCAAAAAAGTAGGAACTGAAGGTCAGTTTAAGAGTGGTCTAAGGAGTGGTAATCCTTATAACCACTACTTCCTCAGATTCCCAGATCCTCGCAGGAGATCTTGGATAAAGGTAAGCAGTGAAAGATTACTTACCTTAATGACCAAAGAAACTCTAAACAGATTACAACTGCAGTTTAATAAAGGGGGTTCCAGAAAATACTAGAGTCTAAAACTTAATGTTTTAGAGTATAGGAAACAGTAATGAAGTGTCAGAACCGAAATAAGAGGAGCAATGCAGGTTCAAGAAGCCAACGAGTCACCAGAACTGTAATTCCCGAAATTTCATAGAATATAATTTAATTTTTTTATGCTATATTTTAATGTTTTGAAAGTTTAGAGACTAATGTATATATAAGGTAAATTTTAATTTTATTGGGCTTAAAAGGTAGATTTTGACGGGATGATAATAAGTATACGGATATTGGGCTTGTTGGATAGATCGTAATTAAAGACGCATTTTAGGCTCAAGAAAAAGTTAATTTGGATTAGCGAAGCCTAAGTTATTAACGTTGGAAGATATAATCTTAAATTATTATTTTATTATTATTGATTTATGGATTTGAATTTTTATTCACGTGAGTGAGAGAGAGAAAAGTTATTCCACTTTTGTTTTATCTTTTTATATATTTATTTATTCTACTTTATCTTACCTTAGTTAGACTTTGAATGAATGTAGGTGATGTCACGTGTCTGCGAAGGTCTTAATTGGAGATTTCAAATTGACACATGTAGAAATCTTTTTGTTTAGGTTTGTTTCAGATTCTTTTTCCTCAACTTTATCCAATTAAGCACACGTCTCCCACTACGTAACAACTCTTGAGGGTATGTTATTATTATCTAGGTATATAGATACATGTATAATGAAGGGGACACACACAAAAATTATATGCAAGCATAGAAGACACAGCAGAAGTAGAAAAGAAAGAAGAATGAGATTTTATTGTTTTGTCCTCCAAAACTTAAATCAAGGTAGGATTACGAGATGCAAGTGGTTTGTCCCATTTAAATTATTTCTTCTTGTTGATAAATGTTATACTTATGAAAGTTATGATGTGATATAATATGATTATGATATGTATGTTATGGCCATCCGGTACCAAAGCTATGATATGATATGAGCTCTTACCGGTTCTAAAGATATGATATGACGGTATGATTACTTTAATGCGTGATTTAATACTTTTAATTGGGATTGCACAATTACTCGTATCCTACTGAGTATTCCCATGTACTCACCCTTTTCCCTACTCCTCACAGGTTAGACCGGGTCGTCGGTTGGCTGGCGATGTGGTGCAGTCGTAGTGCCAAGATATTTGGGATAATAAATCAAATCCAGCGTAACGTGACCAAAGATTTTATTTTTAGCTTTTGTTTTAATTTTATTATTATGTGAATCTGTGATTCAAGATTTGGGATACATTTTTTTTTTATATGTTTTTATGGTTTATTTTCATTATTTTATATTGGTGGAACCAAAACTTTATTCACAATCAATTATTCAGAATAACATATAATAGAGTATGGTTGATCTTATCACATGAATTGAGAATTTTGGGTGTACTGTACGTAAAGTTGTTTCTTTTCAAGATGGGTAATTGATTGAGGCCATGTATGTGTAATTAATGAGACCCAAATTGATGGTATTAATTGGGTGAAAGTGATGTCACGTTTTCTACTCACTGCATAAGTATAAATAGGATGTGAAAAAAATAATAATAAAATAAAATAATGAGTGAACAGTAATTACTATTCACGATGAACAGTGACGTCATACGTGAACAGTACTGTTCACGTGAACAGAAATTAAAAAAAAAAGAATTAAAAATTGTAGTAGGGTGTAAATTTTACCATTAGTGAAAAGTCTTTGACATGTTTTATTAATTTGCGTATCAATCATTTTGTCAAGGCTAGATTTTTAATTATTATTGTAAAGATACTGATTACAGGTTAATCAATTCAATTTATTATAAATAAATGAGTTGATCTCTATATTACTTAGGTTATGATTAGTGAGACGTCAAATTTGTTTATGTGTAAATTTTAAATATTTAGACATCTTTTATTTACTTTCTTTATAATTAATTGTGTTATTTTATCAATTATTTAGTGCATGGTAGTTTTCATGCACCACATGGGTACATAGAGTAATTTAGTTCTAAGGTTGAATTTCGTACAATCTGGATATTGCATGTAAATTATACTTTGATACCTTTGTCATAAATCCATTTTTTTTAAAAGAATCTTTTAGTAACGACTTAACCTTTTAAATTTCAAAAGATTTGGGTCGTTACAATTTGGTATCAGAGCATAGGTTTAATTTCCTGTAGACCCATATGTATTTTAAAATAATTCGAGTAAAAAAATAAATAAATCTGTGCATGGACAGTGAACAGTGACGATCACTGTTCACGGTGAACAGTGTCTTAAACTGTTCACATGAACAGTCAAATTTAAATATTCATATATTATAAAAAAAATGCGTGATGTTATATAAATATTGAATTTTTCATGTTTTAAATGTTATGTATAATAAAATGTTTATTTGTTTACTCGTTTCTTTGCATAATGTTTGTTAAAGGTTAATATTTTTTTTCTCAAAAGATTTATGAATTTAATGATAATGTCAATTTAAAGTTATTAAATATGTGAATGATCTTTGGCACTCAACAACCACCAATCGGCCACCCTCCAACGACTCTAAGGTATGTAAAAGGGTAAGAAAATGCACTTAGATGTTTTCAATAATTTCAATAATTTAGATTGCCTACTTCTAAATCTTTAAGACATGCACTTTATTTTCCCACTAAATTGATGATATGTATTACGATAAAAATAAGTATAACATGATAGACTTAGTGCTGAAATGTGATCATAACTTCATATTAAATTTTAGGAAATGGCAACACCTTTTCATACAAATTTGATGTGCGATTTACTACGAGCGGTACAAGAGTTGAGTAGGCAAAATCAAGCACCTCCACCACAAAATGCACCGCCGCAGTAGAATGCATCGCATTTACCCCTGGAGCTGTCTCAGTGGTTGAGTAGTTTCGTAGGTACAAGCCTTCCACTTTCGACGGTAATTCTGAACCACTGGTTATCGAAGAGTGGATAAGAGGCCTGAAGCGCATATTTCGACACATTGCTTGTACGGATGCACAGAAAGTACTATGCGTAGAATTTATATTGATTGGAGTAGCTGGTCATTGGTGGGAATCTGTTTCACGTACAAGGACGGAAGAGCAGCAACGTAATCTGACTTGGGAGTAGTTTAAAGACAAAGTGATGGCAAAAAATGTCCCACAGGCTTTGACGGACTTCAAGGAATCAGAATTTCTGCAGCTCAGACAGGGGAACATGTCACTTACTGATTATGAAAGACAATTTGAGCAGCTCTCAAGGTATGCCCCGCACTTGGTGGATACAGAAGTTAAGAAGATTAGGAGGTTCGAGAATGGACTGCGCCCTGAGATCGGCATGATCATTATGTCCCATCGTTTCACCTCATATCGTGAAATGTTGGAGAGGACTCATGCTATTTCATATCAGAGGACCTCATTTAAACAGTATGCCCAACAGAGCAAGGAGTCGTTGGGGAAAAGGAAGTGGAGTGATCAAAGTAAGAACATACACAACTGGCAGAATAAAAGGCCAAGCACAGGAATTCGCATTGGTGGGACGAGTGGAAGTATTACCCCCTATCCTAAGTGTAATAAACTCCACATGGGTGAATGTTGGTTCGGGAAGAACGTGTGCTTTAGGTGTGGTAAGCCCAGACACATCGTTCTCAACTGTCTAGAGCCTCCAAAGAAGAAGGATGATGATCAAGACCAAACAAGAAAGGAAAGGCCCGAGTTTTCACACTGAATCAGCATGAGGCGGAGCAGGATCCGAATGTGATAGCAGGTATTTATTAATTTTTTTTAACATACCTGCCTATGTTCTTTTTACCTAGGACTAAACATCGTTTCATTTCTGTCCTTTGGTTGCTAGTCTAATACTATAATTACAAAAATAGGTATTCTGTTATTATCCAATGTGCTTGCTTACATACTTTTTGATTCGGGGGCAACCAATTCTTTTATATCTGCATCCTTCGTCGCCAGGTCCAACTTTGCATCTGTGAGAACAAATAATGAATTAGAGGTTAGCATTCTGTCAGGAAAAACTCTTTGCACAAACCAGATGACTAAGTCTATGAAGTTAGAGATTGATGGGAAAATATTGGAGGTAGACTTATACCTCTTGGAAATGAAAGATTTTGATGTTATCTTGGGCATGGATTGGTTAGGACTTAATCATGCAAGCATTCGATGTCATGAAAAAGAAGTGCTATTTCATAGACCGTGAGAGAAAGAGTTCCGTTACTTTGGAGCAAAGTTCAAGTCCCTACCTCATCTTATATCAGCTATACAAGCGGAGAAGATGTTAAGAAAGGAGTCATGCTAGGGATTCTTGGTTAACATTATCGGTTCTCAACATACAGAAATGACTGTGAATGATATTAATATCGTGCGAAACTTTGTAAATGTGTTCCCAGAAGCTTTGCCAGGCATTCCACCAAGTAGGCAAGTGGAGTTTACAATTGATTTAATCCCTGGAGCAGTTCCAGTATCTAAGGCCCCGTGTAGAATGGCACCGAAAGAACTTCAAGAATTGAAGTTGCAATTGGAAGAATTGCTGGAGAAAGATTTCATTCGACCGAGTGTATCTCCTTGGGGAGCTCCTGTACTTTTTGTCAAGAAGAAGGATGAGAGTATGAGGATGTGCATTGATTATCGAGAATTGAACCATCTAACCATCAAAAATAAGTATCCGTTGCTAAGAATAGAAGATTTGTTTGACCAGTTAGGGGGTGCTTCGGTGTTTTCAAAGATCGACTTGAGGTCAAGGTATCATCAACTGAAAATCAGGGCAAGCGATATATCGAAAACATCTTTCAGGACTTGGTGTGGGCATTATGAATTCACTGTCATGCCTTTTGGTTTGACCAATGCTCCGGCTGTATTATGGATCTCATGAACAAAGTGTTCCATCAGTACTTAGATCAGTTTGTCATAGTATTTATTAATGACATACTCGTGTACTCCAAAGATAAGAAGCAGCATGAGGAACAACTCCGAATAGTACTTGAGACTTTGAGGAAGGAGAAATTATATGCTAAATTCAAGAAGTGTGAATTTTGGCTTGATCGCATAGGTTTCCTTGGTCATGTGGTTATCGCCCAAGAAATCGAAGTAGATCCTGCTAAAGTGGAAGGAATAACAAATTGGCCAAGTCCGACCAGTGTGGGTGAAGTCTGTAGTTTCTTAGGATTGGCTGGCTATTACAGAAGATTCATTAAAGGCTTCTCAAAAATAGTAGGACCAATGACTCAGTTAACAAGAAAAGGTGTGAAGTTTCAGTGGACGGAAAAATGTGAAAAATGTTTTCAAGAACTCAAGCAGAGGCTAGTCTTAGCTCTCGTATTGACGATACCTGAAGGTTCAGAGGGATTTGTGATCTATAGCTATGCCTCAAAGCATGGTTTGGGTTGTGTACTTATGCAGCATGGAAAAGTGGTTGCTTATGCCCCGAGACAGCTGAAGCAGTATGAACAAAACTATCCAACACACGACTTGTAGCTTGCAGCGGTAGTTCATGCCTTAAAGATATGGCATCATTATCTCTATGGTGGGAAGTGTGAAATTTATACAGACCACAAGAGTCTTAAATATTTCTTCAAACAGAAGGAACTGAATATGAGGTAGAGGAGATGGTTGGAACTAGTAAAAGATTACGACTGCCCGATTCATTACCATCCGGGTAAGGATAACGTAGTTGCAGATGCCCTAAGCAGAAAGACAGGATCACAGTTAATAGTTCCGCCCACAGTACAGAAACACTTGATAAGAGACTTCAAGAAATTGAGATTGGAAGTTATCACGCCACCGACTCAGACTACAGCAAGAGTAAGAGCGTTTGTAATTCGATCTACTCTTCGGGATCGAATCAAGGAGGCACAGAATAAGGATCCATTCCTACAGAAGATAAAGGCTGAGGTTGGCACAAACAAATGTAGGGGATTTGAAATGTCTGCAGATAACGCCTTGACTTTCAAAGGAAGGTTATGTGTACCTAAAGATGAAAGTATAAGAAATGAGATACTGGAAGAGGCTCACTCTTCCCCGCATTAAGCACATCCAAGTAGTATGAAAATGTATCGAGATCTCCGAGATACATTTTGGTGGAGAAATATGAAGAGAGGAATTCGTCAATTTATTGAAAAATGTATTATCTGCCAGTAGGTCAAGGCAGAATACCAAAGACCATCAGGGCTACTGAAACCGTTGGATATTCTAGAATGGAAGTGGGAACACATAACGATGAACTTTGTGGTAGGCCTCCCAAGGACAGTAAAAGGTCACAATGCTATCTGGGTAGTGGTTGATCATTTGACAAAGTCAGCCCATTTTCTACCAATCAAGGTAAACTTCAACATGGAACAGTTTGCACAACTATACATCAAAGAGATAGTTAGATTGCATGGAGTTCCAGTCACTATTATTTCAGATAGAGATCCGAGGTTCAAGTCTAAATTTTGGAAAAGTTTGCAGATAGCCATGGGAACGAAACTAAAGTTTAGTACTGCTTATCATCCACAGATATATGGGCAGTCAGAAATAACCATTCAGACCCTTGAGGATATGTTGAGGGCACGTGTTTTGGATCTTGGGGGTCGTTGGGAGACACACCTACCTTTAGTGGAGTTTGCTTACAACAATAGCTTACAAGCCACTATAGGTATGGCACCATATGAAGCTCTTTATGATAGGAAGTGCAGATCCCCTATCCATTGGGATGAGGTTGGAGAGAATAGAATTTTAGGTCCTGAAATTATTGGCCGAACAGTTGGGACAGTTGACAAGATTAGAGCCATAATAAAGACTACACAAGACCGACAGAAGAGTTATGTAGATCGTAGGAGAAATGATTTGGAATTTAGTGTGGGCGACAAAGTTTTCCTTAAAGTAGCACCCATGAAGGGCGTATTGAGATTTGGCAAGAAGGGAAAGTTGAGACTGCGATTTATTGGACCTTTCGAAATCCTTGAAAGGATTGAAGTTATGGCTTACTGACTTGCCTTACTCCCTGAACTTGCAGCAGTGCATAATGTGTTTCATATATCGATGCTCTGAAAATATATTCATGACCCCAATCATGTAATAAGTTATCAGACTTTGGATGTACAAAAGGACTTATCATATGAAGAAACCCCGATGATGATTTTGGACAGAAAGCTACATTAACTCAAAAACAAAGAGGTTTCCTTAGTCAAGGTCCAGTGGCAAAATCATGGACTTGATAAGTCAACCTGGGAGAAAGAAGAGGAGCTTAGAACCAAGTACCCAGAGCTCTTCGATTAACCAAGGTAAATTTTCGAGGACAAAAATATTTAAGGAGGGGAGATTGTAATGTCCCAAAATTTTATAGAATATAATTTAATTTTTTATGCTATATTTTAATATTTTGAAAGTTTAGGGACTAATGTATATATAAGGTAAATTTTAATTTTATTGGGCTTAAAATGTAGATTTTGACGGGACGATAATAGGTTTACGGATATTGGGCTTGTTGGATAAATCATAATTAAAGACGCATTTTAGGCTCGAGAAAAAGTTAATTTGGATTAGCAGAGTCTAAGTTATCGACGTTGGAAGATATAACCTTAAATTATTATTTTATTATTATTGATTTATGGATTTGAATTGTTATTCACGTGAGAGAGAGAGAGAGAGAAGTTATTCCACTTTTGTTTTATCTTTTTATATATTTATTTATTATACTTTATCTTACCTTAGTTAGACTTTGAATGAATGTGGGTGACATCACATGTATGCGAAGGTCTTAATTGGAGATTTCAAATTGACACATGTAGAAATCTTTTTGTTTAGATTTGTTTCAGGTTCTTTTTCCTCAATTTTATCCAATTAAGCACACGTCTCCCACTACATAACAACTCTTGAGGGTAGGTTATTATTGACTAGGTATATAGATACATGTATAATGAAGGGGACACACACAAAAATTATATGCAAGCACAGAAAACATAGCAGAGGTAGAAAAGAAAGAAGAACAAGATTTTATTGTTTTGTCCTCCAAAACTTAAATCAAGGTAGGATTACGAGATGCAAGTGGTTCCTCCCATTTAAATTATTTCTTCATGTTGATAAATGTTATACTTATGAAAGTTATGATGTGATATAATATGATTATGATATGTATGTTATGGCCATCCGGTACCAAAGATATGATATGATATGAACTCTTACCAGTTCTAAAGATATGATATGACGGTATGATTATTTTGATGTGTGATTTAATACTTTTAATTGGGATTGCACAATTACTCGTACCCTACTGAGTATTCCCATGTACTCACCCTTTTCCCGGTTAGATCGGGTTGTTGGTTGGCTGGCGGTGTGGTGCAGTCGTAGTGCCAAGATATTTGGGATAATAAATCAAATCTAGCGTAACGTGACCAAAGATTTTATTTTTAGCTTTTGTTTTAATTTTATTATTATGTGAATCTGTGATTCAAGATTTGGGATACAGTTTTTTTTTTGATATGTTTTTATGGTTTATTTTCATTATTTTATATTGGTGGAACCAAAACTTTATTCACAATCAATTATTCAGAATAACATTTAATAGAGTATGGTTGATCTTATCACATGAATTGAGAATTTTGGGTGTACTGTACGTCAAGTTGTTTCTTTTCAAGATGGGTAATTGATTGAGGCCATGCATGTGTAATTAATGAGACCCAAATTGATGGTATTAATTGGGTGAAAGTGATGTCACGTTTTCTACTCACTCCATAAGTATAAATAGGATGTGAAAAAATAATAATAAAATAAAATAATGAGTGAACAGTAATTATTGTTCACGATGAACAGTGACGTCATACGTGAACAGAAATAAAAAAAAAGAATAAAAAATTGTAGTTGGGTGTAAATTTTGCCATTAGTGAAAAGTCTTTGACATGTTTTATTAATTAGCGCATCAATCATTTTGTTGAGACTAGATTTTTAATTATTATTGTAAAGATATTGATTACAGGTTAATCAATTCAATTTATTATAAATAAATGAGTTGATCTCTATATTACTTAGGTTATGATTAGTGAGACGTCAAATTTGTTTAGGCATAAATTTTAAATATTTAGACATCTTTTATTTACTTTCTTTATAATTAATTGTGTCATTTTATCAATTATTTAGTGCATGGTAGTTTTCATGTACCGCATGGGTACATAGAGTAATTTAGTTCTAAGGTTGAATTTCGTACAATCTGGATATTGCATGTAA